CAGGGAAGGGGTGCCAGGGAGGGGGCGAGCTGGAGGAAGGGAAGACTCAGACGGTGTCATATTGTCATAGCAACAAGAGTGGAGCCAGATTGGGGCAGGGGCCTGGGCGTGGAAGACAGGGGGCAGCCTGGGACATACCAGCGAGTTAAGAGGTGGAATTGCTGGAACCTGGCGGCTCCTGCGAGGATGAGGAGAGGGGACTGAGAGGAGGGAGAGGTCAACCTGAGGCCGACATTTGGGTTTGGAGACTGAGGATCGAATTCCCTGTATCTCTAGGGTGTGGAGGTGCATGAGGTCCCTGGGAACCTGCACCAGCTGAGGCAGCCGGGCCAGTTAAGGGACTTGGGTTGGAGGGTCAGGTGGCCCCAGGCTTGGGGACAAGTTACTTAAGCGTCTTGCACCTTTATCTGTGAGATGTAAAAATAGGCTTTCGAAAAAGAGAAGTTATTGATGGAAAACTGGTTCAGTCAATGCAGATTGTAATCAGATTTGCTCAGAGGATTGATCCGAGGATGAAATAAGCTAATGCTGTTGAGCCCTGGGCGAGGCGATAATGGTGCGAGCTCACACTTCCTCAGCACCACACTCCGCCCTCGTGCTTAGTAAGACCTCCTAGTGGCACCTCGAGGCAAGAAAACGTTATCCTCCTTTCACAGAGGAGGATGCAGGGGGATGAAACCTCTTTAAAGCTCCGAGACGCTTTGCGCCGGAATTAACTTTACCCCCACATGACAGATAAAGAAATGAAGGCCGCACCAGGCCAGGGGGGGGCAGCTCAGTGAGAGGGTGAACATACTTGCAAAGGTGGGGCCAGGCTCAGAGCCTGGGCAACCTGGCCCTGGCCCCCCCAGGACCTAGAGCCAGGCTGGGCGCTGCCCCCCTGTGGAGTGGATGGCCCCGAGTGAAAGTGGCCAACCGGGGTGTCCTGGGGTCTGAGCACAGCCTCTCCTGACCACCGTGGGGTCTTTCTTCTGTCTGTCCCCAGCCTCCGGCCGCTCCCACCCAGCCAGCCCCAGCCCGCCGGGGCCCCCGGCCAGCCCGGTGCTGCCGATCAGCTACCGGCTGTCCCACACGCGGCTGGCCTTCTTCCTGCGGGAGGCGCGGCCCTTGCCATTGTAATCAGATTTGCTCAGAGGATTGATCCGAGGGTGAAATAAGCTAATGCTGTTGAGCCCTGGGCGAGGCGATAATGGTGCGAGCTCACACTTCCTCAGCACCACACTCCGCCCTCGTGCTTAGTAAGACCTCCTAGTGGCACCTCGAGGCAAGAAAACGTTATCCTCCTTTCACAGAGGAGGATGCAGGGGGATGAAACCTCTTTAAAGCTCCGAGACGCTTTGCGCCGGAATTAACTTTACCCCCACATGACAGATAAAGAAATGAAGGCCGCACCAGGCCAGGGGGGGGCAGCTCAGTGAGAGGGTGAACATACTTGCAAAGGTGGGGCCAGGCTCAGAGCCTGGGCAACCTGGCCCTGGCCCCCCCAGGACCTAGAGCCAGGCTGGGCGCTGCCCCCCTGTGGAGTGGATGGCCCCGAGTGAAAGTGGCCAACCGGGGTGTCCTGGGGTCTGAGCACAGCCTCTCCTGACCACCGTGGGGTCTTTCTTCTGTCTGTCGTCCGCGCCCGGGTGCCCGCCTCGCAGCCCGTGGCCCAGGTGCTGTTCTACGTAGCCGGCCGGGACTGGGACGACTTCGGCGTCACCGAGCGGCTGCCCTGTGTCCGCCTGCATGCCTTCCGAGACGCCTGGGAGGTCAAGAGCTCCTGCCGCCTCAGCGGGGCCCTGGCCGCCTGTCTGGTGCG